TGAAGTGCTACTATGAACTAGACAACGCCTATACAGCCTTCCATATAATCAACAAGGGAAAGAAAAATACTACATACAACATCAGAATGCCCCTTTTCAGGCTGGAAATCATAATAAATCTCGGAGCACGGACCACATGGACCCGTGATACCACTCGTCCAAAAGTTGTCATCCTCGCCCATCCTCTTTATACGTTCAACAGGAACACCAACCTGGAATAAGATTCAATACGTATTACGTACATTAAAGGTTGCCTACATTTCGAAAATTGTTTTCTTGCCTCAATAAAAGAAAATTAACAGAAAATGAAAAGCACGATAGTCCCCGACTTCAATGCACAAGTTACCACTCTAGGTTGCAGGGAGCAAGTAATTAAATGAACGTTTATTTAAGAACAGAAAATATACAATCAAAGAGACATAAGCTTCGAGTAAGAGCATAAATTCACTAAGTATAACAAGTTGAAAGATTTCAAGTATACAATACAACCTCGTCATGCCATATTGCAAAAGCTTCATCGTCTTCTTCGTATATACTAATCCATAGTTTGTTGGCTGGCAACCCAAATCTGGAGGGACAAAAACCATTATCCAATGAAATCTAAAGCAGTAGACTCAGTGACATGTTTATTTATTGATCACGCTATATTAGATCAGTATACTTATAAATGGCGAGAAGATAAAAGGAGAAGTGTGAGATCCAACATCGGTTGGAGAGGAGAACAAAACATTCCTTATATGGGTGTGGAAACCTCTCCCTAGTAGACACATTTTAAAATCTTGCGGGGAAGCCCTCGAAGGGAAAGTCCAAAGAGGACAATATCTACTAGTGGGGGGCTTGGACTATTACAAGAAGGTTCGAGGGGCGATGGAACACTGATAGAAAAAGAGTGATAATACACATTCAACTCTTAGATGAAGTTGCTAATATCGAAAGAAATATTAGAATTTTATGCTCAAGAAGCTTATAGCTTGGATGTACTTGACAAGCAGCAATATTGTAACAGTCCAAGCCCACCCATAGTAAATATTGTCCGCTTTGGCCCGTTATGTATCGTCGTCAGCCTCACACCCTTATAAAGAATGTTTCGTTCCCCTCTCCAACCTATGTGGGATCTCACAAATATAATATTTATTTGATGAGAAATCTTGTCCTGCTTCAATTTCAAATGAGCTTGAAAAATTTTAGAACTAATATTATGATAATGTAATTCATTCATACTCGATGGTTGTCAGTTCCCATGCCCACTTAATCGCTTCTCTCTTGAAGTAATCACCAAAACTGAAGTTTCCAAGCATCTCAAAGAACGTATGATGCCGAGCTGTTCGACCTACATTCTCTACATCGTTTGTACGTATGCACCTTTGTGCAGTTGCAGCACAAGGCACCAGTCTAGATACCTGAAAAATAATGAACATAAAAGAACAAGTTGAAGATTTTGAAATTCAAACTAGCTCAAGTTATAACATAAACAATTACTTCTCAAGAAGGAAAACAACAAACTAAAGAAAAGAAAGAGAGAATAATAGCTTCAAAATAACTCAAAAGTATATTACTAAGCTGCTCTAAAGTATCTTTACTCCAATAGTTCCTCTTCTAAAACATCCCGGTACAAAATGTAATAGTCCAAACCCACCGCTAATAGATATTGTTCGCTTTGGCTCGTTACGTATCACCGTCAGCCTCACAGTTTTAAAACGCGTCTACTAGGGAGAGGTTTCCACACCCTTATAAGGACCAATGTGAGATCTCACACAGAAGTCAGAAGTCACTACAAGGACGACATGACACCATTTTCCATAAGATTTGGAAGCCACAAAGGTGTGAAGAAAAATTCCCTATCCCGCCCCCTTAATATTCTTTTGTTCCTCCCTAGGGGTATCCCTCAAGGAGTGACCCTAACAACATTACACCAATGCCTAGGTGCTTTCTTTGAAAGGATAGCCCATGAGCAACTGAATATTACAGTGTTTATAACAAAGAAAGAACACAACACGCATACCAAAACAATGTTATCATCCAGTGCTTCTTCCAAGCAAAGGTATGGTGAAAGAATGTTAAGTCGATTTTAATGCAATAGAATTTAACACGAGCTTTAACCACGTGCATGCCATACCTTTCCAAGGAATATAGGCTTGAATTGAAGCATTCCTGCAATTGTCAACAAAACCGTGGGGTCTTCTGGGACCAAAGAAGCACTGGGAAGAACTTTGTGTCCACGGGAAGCGTAAAATTGAAGAAACCGACGACGAATAGAATCCCCAGACACTTGGAGATCCTTGGACTTATCCTCTACTAATTCCTCATTCACTGGTTTCACAGATGCTGAAACAGTGAAAAGTCGAAATGTAAGAATTCGGTGAAGCGTTGAAACTACAAATGAAAAATTTGCAAGTCCAGAATATAATTTTAATCAAACTGACTGATATACTTCTTGTTTTGAGTTGTGTGCCCCGAGCTTCGTTTGGAAGAAAATGTCTGTGACAATCCATGGTGGATGGAAAAGGGGCAGAATTCCTTGTAATATAGCCTGTAATATCCCGAAAGCTGATATTCAGAACATAATAGGTCAGCCGGAAGAACGAAAAAGGAGTTTACGATCCTAATAGAACTCATAGCATGTGGGGCATCAATATTTCTTTATGAAAATGAAATTGTAACAGTCTAGTATCATATGAACACGACCAACAATACTACGATGCAGTTGGACTAGTACTACACGATCGAATGGGCTGACCAGAAGGTTTATAATTCTGGTGTGCATGTAAAATCAGAATAATCATTTCATGATCAATGAAACAGAGCTAGATCATCTAGCAAGCACATAGGCTATGCTCAATTTGGCATACGGATTTGGTACGAAATAATTTCAAATTCCTACTTATGTTTCAAACCAAATTGATTTGGAATCACTTCAATCAAAATTTCTTGTTTTGATGCTCCCGAGATACGTAAAGAACGTATAACATTTTATCGTTAGGTCCTTCGCTGAAATTGTTTTGTTCTGGGGAGAAGAAAATCAAAAGAAGCAATTCTTTTGTTGATTTCTTCTTCAACCAGTGTACAAAAACATAAAACTAAGAAGTTATACAAACAGATTAGGAGGGGAAAAAAAACATATTATTCTTATCCAAATCAATAAATAAAAAGAAAAAAAAAATGTTTAAGAAGATGAACAAAGCAAAAAACTAGAACTAAAACTAAAAAACTCACCTCCAGTTTGCTTGGCTATAAAAAAAAATGGTTGGATCGAAAGAAAATAACGTTTGCAGGTTAAGACAATCAGAATCAGATTGTTTTAAGAAACGAAATTAGATATTGCTAAGAATTACGAACCTCCACAATGGTATGATATTGTCCACTTTGAGCATAAGCTCTCGTGGTTTTGCTTTTAGTTTTTCCAAAAGACCTCATTCCAATGGAGATGTATTCGTTAATTTATAAACCCATGATCAACCCCTTAATTAGCCGATGTAGGACCTTCTCTCCCAACAATCCTCAGCAATCCCCCCTCGAACAAAGTACACCATAAAGCCTCCCCTGAAGCCTATGGAGCCCTCGAACAACCTCCCCTTAATCAAGACTTGACTCCTTCTGTAGAACCCTCAAACAAAGTACACTATTTGTTCGAAAATTGAGTCACTTTTAACTACATCTTCGAGACTCACAACTTCTTTGTTCGACATTTTAGGATTCTATTGACATGCCTAAGCTAAGAGCATGGCTTTGTGTTAGTCTATTACGAACCTCCACAATGAGATGATATTGTCCACTTTGAGTAGAAACTCCATGGTTTTGCTTTTAGTATTCCCAAAAGACCTCATCTCTATGGAGATATATTCCTTAACTTATAAACTCATGATCAACCCCTTAAGCCAATGTGGGACTCTTCTCCCAACAATCCACAATGGATAATATAATAGATATCAACTTGTAACCTACTGATAACAAAAAACACCAAAGAAGAAGAGCAATCAAGTGACTTTGCATATCAAGAATCCAATAACTCAACCATTGCTCGGGCGGGGGGGCTCCGTCGAAACCCAGATTCAGAAATATCATAGAAAACGGAACTAGTCATTGATAACTCATTCATATACAGATGACCCAGATACTTAAAAATCAATCCAGCCTCAGAAACAAACAAGCTACACGGCATTTCACGGTTTCCCTCAAATGAGTTCAAAACATTCCGCAAGTTAATTCTCAAGCTCTAAATCGATAGAAAGATAGAACAAAATCGGAGAAGTACCGGAAGAGCACGTAACTTTCCGTCTGGGTCGCGCGAGGGAGGCAGGTTTGTTGCCATACAAGCTTGAACGTTGAAGTGGAGTAAGAGAGTTACGGCCATAACTACGAGGCGGATGATTTGGGAGCTTCAAGGTGAACTCCATTGACGAGCAGTGCTCCCAATTCCTAGAACTTAATCCTAGGAAGTATGGTTTGTATTTTATGTGCTGAATTGAGATTGAGGAGGAAGAAGAAGATAAGTTCGATTGAGAGGACCAGACATTTTGGAAGCTTCAGCGGAAGAAAGCTGAAATCGAAGTGTGGGCACCGTGAGCCCACAAAACTGCTCTCCAATTTTTTTTTTTTTTTTTTTTTGAATTTTGAATTTTGAATTTTGCAGATAAAAATAGTCTAAATTTTAGTCTTAAAAATTTTATTTATAATAAATTTTGAAATTTTATAACAATTTAATTTCTTAGCAATTTGATGGTCGTAATTTCAAAAAATTAATTAATAATTCTTTTTCTTCTTTTTTTGGCTTTTTTTTTTTTTTATTATTCCTAAATTACGTTCAATATAAAATATTTAATTTTTAAAATATAAATTGTACTAAATATTTACCATTACAAATTTATATAATTGTGTTAAAATTATTTATTATTAAGATTGATTACAAAATAGATAATTTAATTAATTAAAATTAGTTTAATAATTTAAATTAATAAAATGAAAATATTTTATACATAGGCGATGAACAAATATTTTCCATGTTTTCCATAAATCGGCCTTCTTCCTTTGTAATTCCGCCATTAAAGAGCTCATATCTGTACCTTCAGCATCTTAAACAGGTACCCTTGTTCTTCAAGCAGCCTCAATATCTACCAAACAAACAAGCAACAACTCCATTCAAATCAATCTAAACACAATACCTCATTGATCGAATCCCCCAATGAAATCAGAAATTTTACCGTTTTCATCGTTGGCCTTCTCGAAGAAGAATCCAGCAGGCAGAGGCGTGCCGCCATCAACATTGCCTCCATTTCTTCCTTGTTGTAGTTCTTTAAATTCGGGTCAATTAGTTGATTTCCTTGGCCGCAACTGAGTAGAGGTCTTGCCTGTAAGTGAATGAGACGAACATGAATTTGATTGATCTGTGTTTTTTTTTTTTTTTTTTTTTTT